TCTGATCTCTTCTTTGGGAGGTTGAACCAGCACATGGTGGTTCCTTCAAAGAACACAGAAATGGCTTTGTAGGGGCAGAGTGGTTATGGAAGGTGCCCCCAAAGAGGGACACAATTTTTAGGTTTCATCCTTGAGACTTCAGCTTCCTAGAAGAATGTCTAAGCCTCAGCCTAGGAACTCGGGAGAGATTGAGGTACAGGCTGTTGAATCACAATGAAGGCACTTTCTGCTATGATCCTGGTCTTTAGGGTTCCAGTTGGACTGTGGCCTACTCTAAATACCTGCACCCTTTATGGGACTGAAAACAGAATTTTGATGCTGGAATTCACAAGAGATAGAGATGAGCTCAGAGCTCAGGCACTGCCTGGTTTCCACAAAGCTACTAGGAGAACAAGATTCTCTAAACAAAGTACTGCGGAGTGAGCTAGTATAAATCCTTCTACATGCTCTGGGTTAAGTCCTTAGCAGGGGTAAAAATAACTTCATCATGTTCATCAAAAGCATAAGAATTGAGTCACAGACCCTATAATGAATTCTCTGTTGCCTTGAAGGACTCACTTGTTTGAAGGGACTCATTTTTTTGATTACACAATCATTACGTAGAGTAGGACTGCATTTGGAGGTGTTGTAGTCCTACAGTTATTAAAAATGAAATTGCCTTTAACTATGCAGAGCATACACACTAAAGTTTAGATTTCCTGTTAGCAAAAGTGGGTTTTTTCAGCCTAATTAATTGTATTACTTCTGATGAAGCATAATGCACACTTCAGTTACTGTAGCTTGAAGATGAATGTTAAACAATCTCTTTCCTAAGTTTAATCATATTTTTATTTAATAAATTTCCTAATTCAATATTCCAAGTTTGACTCTTACAAACTACTCCTCTTTCTTCTCATGTGAAGTTTCATCCAATAGTCTTCAATGTTGCTTTTTCAGATCTTTTAAATAAGAGTTTTGTTTGTTTTAATATGTCACTCTATATGCAGTATGTTATGTAGGTAGGTATCTGAGCTTTAACCTTATATACATATTAAAATTACTTTCTTGTACTTCTTTCTATAATCAGTTTTCTCTTCAAGAGAATTCAGTGTTCTTGTCCTAAAACAGCCTTTATGCACTATGAAGGAAAGTGCTAGAAATTGACATGATGATGTGAGACTCACCCAAGACAGGAGCCAAATCTGTGAGATTAGATGCTACATCTCAGCATATGTGAAACTGTTGGCTGGAGGGTTTATTTCCAAAAGTCTGCCTTTGCAAAAGGGTTGCTGGACAAGCTTGAAGCTGCTTCAGTAGCATGTGTCTAGTGCGCAGACTGTTCCCCACGAAAACAGAAGGTATCCTCCTCCTTATAATTGATTTAATTTAAAATGGAAAAACAATCCCCCTGGACTCCTAGGCACCATTTAATTCTCTCCAAGAATGTGGTAGAAAGGCAAGAAGCTGATCTGATTGGGGTGATAATTGTACCCTGGCACCTAGGACCCTCTGCTCTCCTAAGCACTTCTGGCATGATCCTGGTCAAATCATGCAGACTACCCTGGGATACCTTTGAGCTTGAGGAATGGCAGCAGCATTCTACGGAGCAGTGGGACCACAAGACTTATAAACTGGCAGGATCTTTGCCATGGGAAAGGGATCATATCCATACCACTAGGAAGCCAATTATTGTGTGCATCTCTACTGGAACAGGTCTGTAATTAGGAGCCTTTGGTGGTATAGTTCCTCCTCTTCCCCTCAGTTTCTTCTTTCAAATTCATGGTTCAATCCCTATAGGTGTGCTGATGCAGCTCTTTGTGGTCCAGTGCTGCAAGCAGAGTCATGGACCCAAAGTACAATAAAAGTACTCTTTTCTAGTTAGCTACTGACCTGATTGATGAGATGTCCCAAGAATGACTGTGTTGTCCTGAATTTGGGGACTTTGTTGAGTAGCCTCGGCTCTGTTTCCAAGACTGGAAACTCCAGCGTGGCGCTACCAGCAAAGCCCCTAGAACTTTGAATAATGCATTCAGACTGGTGCAAAACCATGGGAAGAAAGAGGAGTTCTGATCTGTGTTATATATACTTGCAATCCATAAACATTTTTTACTTATTTGAATAATAAAAGTGAGACCGTAGAATTTCCTCCAGGCTTTGCCTGTTCCCTATTGAAAACAGAAAATTTTAAGATGGAGAGTTTATGCACAGGCTATTTATGCCTCTTTAATCTAATTGGTGATGCTTTATTTAAATAATAATGCAAATTAATCCTTGGGATAAATTAGGGAGTTGGAGATGTTTTCAATAATGCAATATTACAAAGATCAACATAAAGTCTTCTACTGTCTGAGTAAATAGCAAGAGTCAGTATCAGATGCAGAACTGTAAACTTACATTTTGCTGTCCTTTGATCCCAACATGATTATTTGCTGTCAACATAAAGAAATTACTGAGGTGTGACCATGCTGTACAACTGTTTTCTGGGGTGAGAAGAATTGCAGTACATGTAGGACATGGAATGTGTAAGGAAAAGAGGAATTCAGACAGCAGGGAGAAGAGGTGGAAAAGAGAGCATGAAAGGCATGGGGAAGGAAGGCAAGGCAAACTGTGCCAAAAGAGATGTGAAAGACTAAGAAGGAGAAAGATGCTAGCTGAAGGAAAGGAATAGCACATAATGGAGCCAATCATTCACCATTAAGATTTTTAGCCAAGCAGGTGCATAACACAGAATCTAGTATTTTGGGGGCTTTGGGAATTAAAGTAGTTTATTTTCAGGAACAACCCCTCTCTCTATTCATTCCCTGTGCTAGCTGCTGTCAGACACCAATAAATGGCACTCCTATGCCAGATGATGAGCACTGCCAGCCCAGACAAACACCTCACCTGGGACCAGGTACAGCCCTTAACAGGCCCAGCACAGGTGTCATCCAGTGCCTACTGCTCCCATCAAAGTTGGAAGATGATGCTCATGGCAGAGCTAAATTGATTCCAAGGGGGAAAAAGGCCAAAAGTCTTTGTCCTACAGGCACAGAAATACAAAATTAAATTAAGACAAATGAGCTGAAGTTCTGTCAAAAGATGGGAGATGCCTGTCCTGAGGGAGCTGCCTATACACCATACCCCACTGCCTATACAGACCCACCTGTGTGCACAGAGCATGGTGCACAGTGTGGATCTGAGCTAGGAAGGCAGCTCAGCTCCCATGCCTGATACAGCTGATTTTAGTGAATTCCAAAATAATTTCAGGGCCAAAAGCGGGGGTTGAGCTTAGAGCCCTGAAAGAGAGGAGGGAAGGGAGACTTTTATCCTAAAGTCATTGTTGCGCCAAAGAGGGGTTTATCCTCCACAGCTAAATGAAAATGAAAAGAAAAAAAAAAATCCAGGATAGCAACATTGGAGAGACAAAGACTGTCATGGACCAGTGCGAGTTTGCAAAATTATATGCAAATGACCCCAGTTTTGACTGACTGACATGGTGGCCCTCTGCTAATCCCAGAGAGAAAATCTACTTAGCAAAGGAAAGGTTTTTTTTAATTTGGTTAACAGGGACCAAAATGCTGAATATATTTATATTTTCAGGAAATGCTATATTTTTAATGCTTCAGCAACAAAGTGGGACCACAAGAGCTTTTTAAGCACATGGAATAAATATTACGTAGCATTTTGTCCATATTCTGTATCCAGTGCTGATAAAAATTAGTGTTGGACGTGTTTTCATAATAGGCACCAGCCATTCCTGCTGCTGACTGTGTTTGACTGAATCCATTCTGTTCTGTGTACGCTGACCAAAGAGAGATTCCCTCTGGATTTACCGTCCAAAAGGTGTCCCGAGGAAATGAGGGTATTTTTCTCCTTTCCCTAGCTGACTCATCATCATCCCGCCGTATGACCTTTCCCCACTAATCTGGGATAGGAGCTTTTCCTGTATTTGCAGGTTAAATGGAAGATACACATTCCACTTTTTACTCATTGTAATAAAGATCTTTTTGTCTGTCTCCGAATAAAGGGTCGGGTTGGTTTACAAATTGGGGGCAGCCCATTCCGCGACCTGGGCAAACAGCCCAGGTCAAACCTCCTCAAAGCCTCCCCACCCAACTGGAATAAGTTAATTTACCCCTCGACGGCTCCGGCCCCGCCGGGCATGCCCGGGCTACCCTACTTCCAGAGGTTATGGAGACACCCGGGACGCTTGGTTCAGGCGGGGCTGGAGTTGCCCCGTCGGGAGGGAACCACGCCGCAGTTCCGCGCCGGCGGCGGGGCTGTAAGGACTCGCTCCCGGAGCTTCCACTGGTTTTACTCTCGGCGCTCCGCAGCTCCGCAGCGGCCGCCTGCCCTCCCCGCCCCGTTCTGCGCCTTCGCCATTATTCATCCTCCTCCGAACAAGCTGCACCGCAGAGAAATTCGCTAGTAAAGCACAGGGGAGATGCCAATGCCGTTCGGACACATGCCCCTGGAGCACCCCTCCACGGGCGCGTGGGGGGCAGCATCCGCGGGGTTTGCGGGAGAGTGGGGCATCCACCACCTCCGGGATACCCCGGGACTCCCTCCCAGTCCCCGGTGACGACCTGGGAGCAGAAGCCGGGCGGCACCGACACCCGGCCCATCACGCCCTGCCCCGCCTGCCCGAAGCGGCAGCCACGGCCGGTGCGTGCAGCAAGCTCCCTGGCCCTCGCTGACCACTTCTCGCTCGTGGCTTTTTTGTCCTGAGTGGATGCGTGGGGAGACTCCCACCGCCACCCGAGGAAGCTCCCTCACGGAAACAAAAAGGAGCGGCGGGTATAAACGTTTATTCCAAGGCATCACTTGTACAGGCACTGCACCCGGAGGTGGGAAGACGAGCGGGTGGGGGCAGCTTCAGGCCCTTGGAGAGGGCAGGCGGGGACAGATCTGGGCCCCCGCGGGCTCCTTGCCCTCCGGGACCCTCGCGCATCTCCCTGCCCCCGGCAGCCTCCCCCTGAGCCCGGCTGTAACCCGCAGTGTCCGCGGTCATAAATAGGTGTTCTTTCAGGCGGGACGAGTCTCTATAGCATGGAGGGGTGCTGGCCCGGGGGCAGCCCGAAGGCGTTGGGGTGGGAATGGCCGAGAAGGTTGAGGTAGTGGCGGTCCAACCCCTGCACGGATGAGAGGAAGGTGCTGCGCTGCTGGCCGGGGCTGGCGAGGGGAACGGTGGCGCTGGGCAAGTGGTAGGGCAGGGAGGGGCTGCGGGCGGCGCCGTGCCAGGGGAACGGCCCCCCCGAGGGCGGCTGGAGCACGCCTTCGGCGGGACTGTGGACATGCCCGGGGCACTCGGGCCCAGGATGCAGCTGGTAGGAAAAGTCCGGCTCCGGGAGGGAGCCCAGGGAGGTGAAGAGAGGCTCAGTAACGAAGCGTGCTTTTGACTGGAGAAAGGCCAAGATACGGGCGTACTTGGTGTCTTTGGTCTCCATCCTCTCCACCGTTGTCAGGTAGTGGACCAGGTTCTTCATGCACTCGTGGTAGCCATAGTGGAAATAATTGGCGAACTCGGAGAGCAACTCTGCTGGAAGGGATAGGGAAGGGAATCGAGCTCCTCAGGGTCTGGCCGGGAGAGGAGCGGGGAAAGCCACCCCAACGCCGCGAGTGACCCGGCGGGGATCGCGGGAGGTCGCTCCCGCCCACCTACCCTTCTCCCGGCCGCGGGGAAAGTCCGCCGAGTGCAGGGCCCGCAGGTACTGCACCGTCATCTCCAGGATCTCCGCTTTCTCCAGCTTCCCCGAGCTCTGCAACGGGCAGGGCAGATGGGCATCACCTCTTCCCTGAGACCGCTCTCGGTTCCACTGGACAGCCCCCTAACCCCTCCGTATCGGAGGGGATATCGCGGCGCATCGGGGAGAAAAGGGCGTAGGGGCTGCTCTCCCCCGCCTACCTGCTTGGCCAAAGCCATGGGCACCGTCTTCCCCAGCTCGGTGAGGCAGCGGTTGATGCGGTCCCTCCTCCGCTTCTCAATGACTTTGTGGGAAACCGGCGTCCTCTGCAAAACATATGGGGTGCGTTAGTGAGGGAGGAGAAAGCAGATGGATCCTGTCTCGCCGTGACAGCCGCCCCCGGCCCCGGTCTCGACCCCTCTAGGGAAGCCAGTCCCCAACCCCGCTCCGAGCAGCGGTGCCGGGCGCGACTCGGCCTCGGGAGGGATGATGCTCCGGTGGCCGGTCGTCTCCGCGCGGCCCTGGTGGCTCCCCGACTGCGCGGACGGCCCTGGCAAGACAGGCTTGTTTTTGTGAGGGAGGTGTGGTTGTTTTTTGTAGGGGGGCTTTTCGAAGGGAAAGGCGGCGCAGGGTCCGGGACCAGGTCGGCTTGGCGGCCCTTCAGACCCGTGCGCGCAAGGCGGGCGACGACTCACCCTCCGCTCCTTGAGCTTGGAGGCCATGGTGAGATATGCATCCCCTCTCCCTCCGGCCCCCTTATAAAGCCATCACTTCTTGGGGGGGACCCCGGGGGGCCTCCATGGGCCCGCTGATCCCATAGGATTAGGGGCGAGCGGCGCCGAGGGAATGTATGCATTAAAGATCAGGGTGGAAGGGGGCGAGGGGATGAGGGGCTTTTTTTCTTCTCTCTTCTTCCTTTCTCCCCCTCCTCGCCCCCGTCCACGCAGCCGGGGGCGGCCCAGCTGTGTCGCCCCACGTGGACCTCGGGGACACACGTGACTGTCCCACAATAGCGGCGGGGACGGGGCCGGGGATGCGGCGAGCGGGGCGCAGGGCGCGGTATCGCG